GGTGTATATCAGGATATAAACCAGGGAGCTTCACTAGGCAGAGAGTACCAGATGATACCACCGAGGAGCATCTATGTCAGACATAGGCAAACTCTGGCCCTCCAGATGTTTGGGACTACAATTCCCATCACCCCTAGCTAACAGGACCAGTGGTCAGGGATGATGGGAATTGTAGTCCCAAAACATCTGGAGGGCCGGAGTTTGCCTATGCCTAATCTATGCCAAACCTGGCAATCTGAGCCTCTCAACAACAGTTAGCACCTAATGCAGAGCCTCCTTTGGTGATCTTTGCAAGTTAGGAAGAACTTATGCAATAAAAAGCATTTCCTGAAGTATGCGAGGTCTAATTCCAGCTGCTGGCCTGGTGTGCATGCAACCCATGCCGCTTTGGCCCCAACACATGGGTTTACTGTGTGGATCGGGTGTGTATGGGAGGAAACTATATCGACAGCTTAGTTGTCAAGGATGACCACTACCTCGAGCACGTCAGATTTCCCCAGCTGTCCTCAGCCTGAAGAACAGCTTGCAAACTCTGATTGTTCTTTATTTATAAAAATATATTTGCAGCACACCTAACTGCAAATGTGTTGGCTCCAGCGTTTACTCAAAGAATCTAAGTACAGTGGTAGCTTGGGTTAAGAACTTAATTCGTTCCGGAGGTCCGTACTTAACCTGAAACTATTCTTAACCTGAAGCACCACTTTAGCTAATGGGGCCTCCTGCTGCCGCCGTGCCGCCGGAGCACGATTCCTGTTCTCATCCTGAAGCAAAGTTCTTAACCCGAGGTACTATTTCTGCGTTAGCGGAGTCTGTAACCTGAAGCGTATGTAACCTGAGGCGTATGTAACCCGAGGTACCACTGTACACATGCAGGTTTCAAATAGCAGGCCGACAAGCAAGCAAAAACATGTGAGCAATCCACTGTCAGGCATGTGTGAGCGGTGCCTTCTATGCAACCAGCTTAGCGTCAACATAGAGGACATTTCAGCACTTGCGAAAACCTCATTTATTTTCCCAAGCTTTTTGCTGGCCATTAGTACCTGTTGGTTGTATTTATTTATTTTATGCCTACTTTGGTCTACTTCCTGCTTTTGCATTGTAATTTTAATGTATCTTTTTTTACTGAATGCTGCCAAGCAGTGGCAAAGCTGGGCGCCCGGGGTAAGTGGCGCCCAGCGCACCCCACCACCGCCCCAGCCCTCCCTAGCTGCACCTCTGCTGCCAATAACAGCAGCAGTAGCAGAATGGATTACACTTAAGCAAAAAGCAGAGTTTCAGTTCTCTCCTGAGGGGCACCCTCAATTATTACTGCCCTGGGGGGCCCCCAACTTCAATCTCATATCGCTTGCCAGCATGGCAACTTTTATTTGTTATTCAGGTTGTAAAGATTCCCTTGATGAAGAGATGGTCAAACACACACACACACACACACACACACACACCCCGCCAGTCAAATACACACAAAGAAGATAACTGCAATTCAGATTTCGAGAGACCTTGCTTTGACCATCTAGGTCTCTTGTACAAAAGAGCAGCTTATTTATTCCTCTGGCAACAATGGCTCTTGCTCAAAGCACACCAGCCAGTTGCGTCTTTGCTTCTTCGCCCTCTCAGACAAGGGACTGTGGAAACAGGGAAACTCAGAAGACACATACAAACAAGAAGGCATGACAAAGGTTCCTTTAGAACACCAGGCTGGCTTATTATATCCACTGATTTTTTCTGCTTTGCAGGCTGAACCATCCCCTCAAGTCCACGGAGCAGAGTATTCAGAAAGCAGGTGGCAATAATCTCCTGAAGACACGACACAAACTCATCAATATGCAAATCATGCAAAAATGTACCCCGCCCTCCCTGACAGATGTTGCTCATTATTTGCCTCCACGCTGCGTTGGTGCTGTGGGCTGCCTCTGTCCCAGCTCCTGGTTAAATAACGATCAAGCCAAGGCCTTCTGCCAGAACAGGAAATAGGAAGACCGACTGCACAAGGGAGAAAGGACACAAGCAAGCAGCAGAGGCGCCAGGCAGCCTTTGGCACTGGAGACACAAGGGAAATGCAACTCGTATTTATTTGCTAGGGAAAGAGATGCAAAGGGTTTCAAGTTGTGGTATCAAGCAAATACAGTGGTACCTCCGGTTGTGAACGGGATCCGTTCTGGAGGTCCGGCCACATGCCGAGGAATTCACAGCTGGAGGACTGCTTCTGCGCATGCATGCGGCATGGTTTAGTGCTTCTGTGCATGCGCATGGGGCGAAACCTGGAAAAATACTTCCAGGTTTGCCGCATTCGCATCCCGAAGTTTACGTATCCAAAGGAATACGTAAGCAGAGGTACGACTGTACTACATTTGGCAGGTTTAATATACAAACGGGCTCCTGTGCTTTTAGTGGTTGGGCAGAGTAACTTTTGTGAGGTGTCTCCCAGCACATCATTGCAGTAGTGGGAGAGGATGAACTCTCTAGCGTTCCTCCTTCATGGCAGTGGCTTCCAAACTTATCTCAGGGAAGACTCTCCACATTGATTTACTTGCCATCTGTACTGCAAAGGCAATCTAGGGTGTAGAGAGTGCTGGACTTAACTGTTCCCCTGTGCAGTCTAAGAGTCCACCTTAGAATACATCCAACTGTCCCCATTGCAGCTGCAGAACAAGATCAATACTGATGGGAAATGGCTACCTTTCAGGAATGGAAGGTCTGAAAGCTGTAAGCGTGAGCAGAGATATTACCAGCAACATGTAACCCTTTCCTGTTTGCAAAGGAGAAACGTCATGTCCTAACACAGTGAATTAATTGTGCATTATTCCCTTGGCCTAAAGAAACCCGACTCCCTTAAGAGATCTTTAAATATTAAACAATTCAGAAATGTTTTTAAATAAACCAGCATAGGTGCTCAATCTCTGTCTCGCAGGAAGACTTTTTTAAAAATGAAACGGGCAAAACAGATGATCCTGCAGACTACCAAATCCATCAGATGCTCAGTCACCATGGCAACAATGGCATTATTCCTGGTTGCACATGCCCTTGTAAGGTAGAACCTTCGGAAAGTTTTCTTGCAGCATTTATTTTGCAGGCAGGTGGTTTTTGCTGCCCACACCGTGTCTAGTTCAAAAGATCAGGTATCAAGGTGATGGGAAAGACCTTCACCTGAGACAATGGAGAGCCAGCGCCAGTCCAAAGAGACAATAACGGGTTAGATGAACTAACCGTCTGACCTAGTGCAAAGTAGCTTCCCGTGTTCCTATTGGCAGGGCCTGCGCTCCAACTCCCATTTTTGCACTCAGTGGTAATGGTTAAAACATTTCATTTCTCTAGGGGAAAAGCTCTTTTTAAAAAATCAATACTGAAAGGTTAATGTACTACTCTCTTAACATCATTAAAGGAAATCTGTGTTGAGTGGCGGAGTGGGGGGACCTAGAGGCAACAGAAGAGGACATTTAAGATGGAAGGGCAGATGGCAAGGCACATTGGCACTGACACCAAGAGCAGGCGTTTTTAAAAAGGGAGCATTTCGCTCTCTTCTAAACATGACAGCAAATGCACAGCACAACTTTTCCTCTCCATGGATTCAATGTAAGCCAACATGCCAAAGGCATCCCATGTACTCACAGATCCTAAAACAAGTGGTTAATAAGGAGCAGCTTGCAAAGCAGAATCATTCTATGGGCTTTTAAATGTGTTTGTGGGAGGGGGAGTTACTGGTTTGTTTTTGAATATTTACACTGTGAACCGCCCTATGATCTTTGGATGAAAGGCAGTATACAAATTTAAACAGCAGCAGCAGCAGCAACAGCAACAACAACAACAACAACAACAACAACAACAACATCAGAAGAAGAAGAAGAAGAAGAAGAAGAAGAAGAAGAAGAAGAAGAAGAAGAAGAAGTTGAAGTTGCTGTTGTTGTTGTGAAGTTGTCTTGGGAATGCAAACTTATCATGCTGGCACTACCGCGACCAATTTTCAGATCCATCAAACCGAGTGTTCTTCTCACTCAATGACCTGAGGCTGCTTGGAAAGTGGTAGAAAACCCCCAGCTTTTAAGTTACTTCAAGGATTTCTCATTTTGTGGCTGACACTCAGGATGGCCTTTGGTTGGCAAGGAAATCTACATCAACATCCCATCTCCAGGCACAGACCTGCACATTCATTTTCTCACTTCCTGGCTTCAACTCTTTTTCTCCCACCTCCCTAGACCTATATGATCCTGCTTCACGTATCTTCAGCTTCCCAGCTCTCTTTTGTTTTCCTTTCTCTGTGCCAGCCTTCCCCAACCAGGTGTTGTTGGACTACAGCTCCATCATCCCTGACCATCATCAATACTGGCCAGGACAGATGAGAGTTGTAGACCAAAACATCTGGAGGGCACCAGGTTGGGGAAGGGTCTCTCTGCTACTTCTGCCGATAGTACCTCCCCTTTACAGGCTTCTTGATCACAACCATGGATTCAGATGGTTTACATATCCAAGAAAAAGTTGCACAATTAATCGGGATATCTTTTTAATTAATTAAAGGTTGTCATTGTTTAATCTGATTAATTTATTAAATGCTGCAGCCCTAGTTGGTCTAAAATGTAATTCCCAATACAGCCAAACCTCGGTTGTCAAACATAATCCATTCTGAAAGCACGTTTGGCTTCTGAAATGTTTGACAACTGAGGCACGGCTTCCGATTGAGTGATTGAACACAAGCAGATGCCGCTTCGGATGTTCAGCTTCTGAAAACCGGTCGAAAACCGGAGCATTTACTTCCAGGTTTTCGACATTCAGAAGCTGAAATGTTCCAAAAGGGAGGAGTTCGGGATCCAAGGTTTGACTGTACTTGTTTAAAATTCAAATGTGTGTCTAGTCTTCTTAGTCTTAGGACTGAAGAATGTGCAAAGAGACTTCCACTCTTCCAATGCAATGAAACGGCCATAAAACAGAATTGCTGTTTACATAGATTTCTGGATGCCCCCAATAAATGAGACCACACTGTAAACGAGAGAAACTTTTGATCTATTTACCTGTCTTCTCTGTTGCGATCAACTGAGTAGAACTGCTTTCGGAGCCACCTGAAACCAAATAGGTTTTGATATCTTAGTCATTCCAGTGCTGTGCTGACCTTTCAAAGCACAGGTTTTCCACAGGTTACCCACAGTTCACCAAAGAATAAATAGGTACAGTGGAAGTATTCTCACTAAGCAGGGTTGAATAAAGAAAAAAAAGAGCTATACATGATTGGTTTCTACAGTATTGTACAAGGGTTGAATTGCATATAACCTACGTTGACCTCCAATGCTTCCCTACCCCATGTCTCTGAAAAGCAAAGATAGAAAGGTTATGTAACAAAATGGTCTGATAAATCCCTGCCACTTCTGACTAGACATGCATAGGATTGCACAGGAAGAGGTATCAAAATTGAATCCTATAAAACTGGGATGGAGAAACTACATCTGACCTTGTGCTGACCTTTAAACCCCTAAATGGCTCAGTCCTGTATACCCAAAGGAGTGTCTCCACCCCCATTGTTCTGCCCGAACACTGAGGTCCAGCTCCGAGGGCCTTCTGATGATTCTCTCACTGCGAGAAGCGAAGTTACAGGGAACCAGACAGAGGGCCTTCTCGGTAGTGGCGCCCGCCCTGGGAAACGCCCTCCCACCAGATGTCAACAACTATCTGACTTTTAGAAGACATCTGACCGCAGCCCTGATTAGAGAAGCTTTTAATATTTGATGAATTACTGTTTTGTATTTTAATATTGTTCTGGAAGCCAGAGTGGCTGGGGAACCCCAGCCAGATGAGTGGGGTATAAATAAATTATTATTATTATTATTATTATTATTATTATTATTATTACTACTACTACTACTACTACCACTACTACTACAAAGTTGCTCTGATGGCTCAGCCCTTTGCTATGTGAATGTGTGGCACAACTGGCAATTATTCTATGCTCTGCTGGCCCTGCCCAACTGTTGTGCCAAAGCCTTTGTGCTATTTTCCACCATCCAATTACCCAGAAGAGGCTGGCTGGCTGGTCCCTGGTAGCTGCTGAGGAAGACTCTGCGGAAGAGGCAGGACTGATCTCCCCTCCCAAGTCCTGTCCCCATTGGAATGGATGCTTCCACAGACATAAAGAGACACCAGGTGTGGGTGGCAGGGAGAGGGGAAGAAAGAAGAGTGAAGGAACCCAGGCATCCTGCTGATGGGGGTGTCCAGCTTAGCTAAGTGCAACAACAGAGAGCTGGCTGAGCATCTGAGCTACATTATTGAGCAGCATTATTGTGCTTGCAGGAGTGAGAGATTCGGGAGTGCATTTGTTGATTGACTGGTTGATTGAGAAGCTGTCATGGTGCACAGATCAAGGAAGACATGAAGCCACATTCTTAATTCTCTCAGCTGTATGGTGGCTTCAGAATCAATCAATCAAGACAATTTCAGGATCTTTCACTCCCGGAAGCTGTAAATTATGGAACTGTACATAAATTTATTATGAAAAGGCAGTGCAGATTTTCTTTTTGGCATGCATAGTCTCAAATATGTTGGCGATGAGGGGGATCAAGTGAGAGCCACCTGCCTGTGCCTTCCTGCTCCCAATTTTTTGATTTACCTTTCAATCTGCAGCGGGGTAGCAGCCTTTAGGGTATCCGCCACAAGCCAGTTCAACCCTTTGATCCACATGCTGACTTCTTCTTCGGATGTGGCTGTGAAAATAAAGAACAAGCCGGTCTTGTAAAGATATGAGATACAGGCACTGACCCCTGTTTCCAAGAAGGAAGTCCCCGAGCAGCTGGCCTCCAGCAGGAGGAAGCTAATCCCATCGAGCTCGAGGTTTAATGGCTCTCTGCTTTCATTCATAAACCTCAAGAATATTCCCTGTGTTTCAAATGTTTGTGACTGAAAGCAGCTACCCTTCCTAAACAAATCAAGAATTTATTTTTAATACTCAATGGCAGACCTATAAATAGCTACTTCTCTGGTCGCCAGTAAGGTCTGGGGAGTGAGGTGAAGGGGTTTTTCTAAATTGGGAGAAAGTTTGTCATGGAGACATCCTTCATATCATACACTCTTAAATTATATCCCCATAGTACAGAGGGGACATACTGGCTGCAGCTGATGGGATAACATGAGAAAGGCTAGAGATTCCCTATCCCCGATTTAAATATATTAAAAACCAGATGATTAAGACATTTGAATTTTCTCAAAGCCCCAGTACATCTTTTAAACATTTTAGAAGTAGCAGATGATGATGATGATGATGATGATGAAATAACATCAAACAAAAACAAAACATCTCACAAATCAATGGTCGATCTTACAAGCTCACATAGGCTCCCCAAAATGCGTATTGTAACTTAAGTAAACCAAACGTTATCCATTTTGATACTTGCTATGCATTAAACAGCATGAGCCTCACTCTCCAGTAAGTATGATAGTTAATGGACACAAAGCAACAACAGGGCTGGCCACAGAGTAGATTCACAAGATAAGATGTGAGCAAGCATCCATTTGCTCAGAAGCCTCGTGCTCCCTATAATAGCCATCTATTATGGCAGCTGCTACCAGCACCCGAGAACCTTCTTCCATCCTCTTGGTATCAGTGCCACCCCTTGCTCCCTCTCTTCTGCTAGATGCCAGGCTCTCCTGAAGGAAGAGTGGGTTGTGGGAGGGAGTGGTGCTTAGAAGGCTGTGGGAGGAACAGGACAATCGTCGTGTATCACCTGAACCTATATTTACCCACTAAAAATAGGAAAGTGGAAAAGAGATCCCACCTTGCAGGCTGAGTGTTTTCAGTCTGAATTCCATGCCATAAAGGATGACAAAACAGTGAGACGGATCTGGCCGGAAAGAGGGATCCTCCTGATACCGGTCAAAGTCTCGAGAGTTTCTTCCCAGACGAATCTCTTGGATTTCACGAATATCAACTGTAAGAGAAGAAAAGAAGGGAAAGGGATAAATTATAACGAGGCAAGATCAGGGTGCTTTAAGAAGGCGCCTGTGATGTAGGTTCCAATATCATGTACTGTGTTAGCTAATATGCAATCTCTCAGTATGGCTTCATCCTGGATTGCAATGATAGTCTAGACCTCTGTCATTAAGAACATAAGAACAGCCCAATTGTATCACGCCAACAATCTACCTCAGTGGTTGTCAACCAGTGTGCTGTGGCACCCTGGGGTGCCTTGAATGGTCAGGGGTGCCCCTGGCTGCACTGACCTCTGTCCCCCTTCCTTCCTTCCTTCCTTCCTTCCTTCCTTCCTTCCTTCCTCTGATGCCCTCTCACGTCTCTGCCTCCCAAAGGCTTGCACAGCTGTTTATTGCAGCAGCCCTGGCTATAAGCTCCACAGGCGAACAGTGCCTCTGGGAGGCACCTCTCTTTGGGGTACAGAGGGACCAGGGATGGCAACCAGGGCTGTCCTGGTGCCCCCCCCCCAGGTTGCCCAGAATTGTCAACCTTTTTTTTTCAGCAGAGGAGCCCAGCGCAACAAACCAGCCCGAGGCGCGCTCTGGGTGGGCCTCTGTTGTCGCCTCAGCGGCAACAGAGGAACCCAAGGTGATGGTGGCAGCAGAGCAAGGCCGGGGCTGGGAGCCTGGGGAGGGCAGCCAGTGAGCAAGCAGAGCCCACAACAGTCAAGCACACAGCGGTGGCGGCAACTGAGCAAAGCCACGTGCCTCATGTAAGCAGCGTACATGCACTGGGCAGGCCTCTTGACGGCCCACCAGGCGCACAGGAGGCCGGAGCCGGCCGGCTGCCTCAGCACCCACAGCAGAAAAGCCTGCGGCGCTCCGAGGGGCTCTGCTCCACTCAGCAGTGGCTGTCGGCTGGCCTGGCTCTCTTCAGTCCCCGGACTTCAAATCTCAGCCCTGGACTCTCGGTCTGGTGCCCCTGACAGCCCGGCACCCAGGTGCCCCGCACCCCTAGAGCCTATGGGTAAGACGGCCCTGACGGCAGCAACTGCTGCCAAGAGGACTCCCAAGGGACTCTAAAAGGTTGAAAACCTTTGGTCTACCTAGTCCAGCATCCTGTTCTCATACTGCCTACAGGAAGCCCACAAGCAGCACTCTCCCCAGTTTTGATTCCCAGCAACTGGTACTCAGAGGCATACCACCTCTAACAGGAGAAGAAAAACAAAGCCACTATGGCTAATAGCCCTTGATATCCTCCTTGAATTTGTCTAATCCCTTTTTTAAACTATCCAGGTTTTTGGCCATCACTATGTTATGTGTGGCAGTGGTTGGTGGGGCAAGTGACAGCAGGGTGGCACACCCGGCTTCTCAACAATGAGTGCCACTGCCACTTAGTGATGGGGCGAGGCACTTAGCATGGTGGGGGCCCATCTGATGATGATCCAACCACTATGCCCACACCACAGTGAGTTCCTGGCATCACCTGTTTCTCCGTCTGCAATAATAAAGTCACAGTCACGTAAGAGATAGAGAAAGGAGGCACTGTAGCCAAAACAGTAGCAAACCAAAATAACCTGTTGTATGGATAGGGTGGCTAGTTGCAAAGGAGGACAGGGTGTAAGACAGAGAATTTCAGCAGGTGTAGCTTGCGTGACAAAAGCATACCTGCCAAAATCCACTTATTAAAGCAACAATCATCCTGCCCCTTTTGCACCTGGTCACTCAAGGTGCAGGCACAGGCTAACATCTGCTTGTATATCTTCAAAAGCCTTCTCCGGCTTAAAGACGTAGTTTTTTTTTATTATTTTATGGAATAAATTCATGGAATTTATTAAAGCAAAACATCTTGCCAGTTTCACACTGGTCACTTCAAGCCCCGCCTGCATTCTAAGCAATTCTAGATTGCTCTGTGGGTCCACCTGGGACCACTAGAGGCCACTGTGACGCATCACAACCTGGTAGCAAATACAGTGGTACCTCAGGTTAAGTACTTAATTCGTTCCGGAGGTCCGTTCTTAACCTGAAACTGTTCTTAACCTGAAGCGCCACTTTAGCTAGTGGGGCCTCCTGCTGCTGCCGTGCCGCCGGACCCCGATTTCTGTTCTTATCCTGAAGCAAAGTTCTTAACCTGAAGCACTATTTCTGGGTTAGCGGAGTGTGTAACCTGAAGCGTATGTAACCTGAAGTGTATGTAACCCGAGGTACCACTGTAATGTCTTTCCACAAAGGGAAAATGCAGTCAAGCAGACACTTCTTAGAGTAGGGGTTGGAAAGGTTTAACCTCGCCTGGGCCGGTTCACTCCAGCGGAGATCCTTCCATGGGCCGGAGTGCGCGTACACACCCATGATTTCCAACGTCTGTGTCGACGCAATTTCCGGCGCCACAGAAGCAAGTTCCCATGCTGTGCTGCGCCAGTTTAGCGCAGCACGCAGGGACATGCCAAGCAGGCAGCTTGGTTCAGGGGTGGCTCGTGGGCCGGTTAAATCACCCCCGTGGGCTGCTTGTGGTTGCCGACCCCCTTCTTAGAGGCTCCGTGGGAGCAAATGTGAATGGATGTTTTTATTTGGACTGCAAAAGCGAGCTGCATGCCAGTGGCGGGTGAAGTCATATGCAAAAGTGGGTGGGGCATACGGCCATACTGTTACGAAAAAGGAGCAATGCAGCAGCGAGCTGCAGATGGCTGGAATGCCAAACAGGATGTTGATGTTTGGGACTGTACCTTGGGAACAAAGGGACAGTCTATTCACTGTACTGAGCACCGGATGTTAGCTCAGAGTGTCATCTGACCTGTACTGGAAGTACAGGGGTGGAGTCTCTCTCTCTCTGCTGTTGGTGTTAAGAGAGTGCAGACATGTTTCTCTGTACTGCTGAAAAGGACAGAAATAAAGGCATGTAAATACATTTCTGTCTGTCTCTTTCCCCTCCCTGGGGATGGCAGGGAGGAGAGGGAAAGAGTGGTGTGTTCTTCTCACGTGGAGGAGGATCGCCGATAGAGGCCTTCGCCTGTATCTTACCGGGAGTCGCAGACGGGGAGGTCAACAAGGAATCAAAGCCGGGTGCCTGGAGAGTGGCCAATTCCTCTGACAAGGCTTGATTCCGACACATACTACCCTGAACACACCCAATCTCGTCTGATCTCGGAAGCTAAGCAGGGTCAGGCCTGGTTAGTACTTGGATGGGAGACCACCTGGGAATACCGGGTGCAAAAAAAAACCAAGAAAAAAGTGGGTGGGGCGATGGATGTGGCTCTTACCTGTGTACCCACAAGTCAGATGTTTCTACATTCCCACCCGCCATGCACATCTCACCATTCTCCACAAAGGTAAGCAAGAGGCATGATCACTGTTCAAGGCGCATTCCAGACAGGCAAATGCAATTGAGCAGTAAAGGGTGTGGCCTGGGAGCAGTGGTGGCCGGGGGTGGGAGGGCTGATAGGGAGGGAGACAGGGAGATGGGGACTAGGTGGAGCCAGAGCCAAGGTATATGCAGTGACACCTAATTTGTGTTTTTTCCTATTTGAGAGGACAGAGGAAGAAGCTGGCAAATACTGCCCCCCCCACTGGTTGTAGGTAAAACCCCAAAGACACACTCCTCCACTGTCTCCTGAGACAGACGGATGCCAACATTGTAAGGCAAGTAACTGAAGTTAATGCACCACTCTCCATGTTTTGTTCCAGCCCTTGCAAAAGGGTTCCATTTGCTGCTGTTGAAAGGTATACATTTATAACCAATGAGACCACAGGCTTGCCTAAATGCGGATCTAAGGTGGGGATCTTCTACAAACTGGGCAAAACAGCTGCACTCACCCACACATTTCTTTCTAATATTTTATTTTGCTTTGCTTTGTTATATGCTTTATGCAAATACACACACACACACACACACACACACACACACACGATCCAGTCAAACATCAGGATAAATTAAGCAGCTTTTATCGGTTGTTAAAAATCCAACAACTGTAAATTCCCTTCCCTCCTTCCTTCTTTCTCATAGGAACATTTTCTCCGCCATCTTTTCAGTCCTTGCTTCCAGGGATTTTCGCACACAGAGTGTCTCAGATAGAGCTGGATGACACAAAACTGAAACCACAAACTGCCCTGGAGACTTCTATACAACAGGCCTCCCACTCTCTCCTGTCCCTCACAGCTGCTCTGTCCCATGGTGATCATCAGGCAGGTTTCAAAACCCATCTACTGGCCATAGAGCTTGTTGGACGGCCACTTCAGAGAAAGAAAAACCTTCCTTATTCAAGCAGCTTTTCCCACACCCCTTTCTCCTTTTCCAACCATCCTTTTCCTTAGTGCCTTCTCCTACCTAGCAACTGTCTCCTAGCATCTGTTGCTGTGACTCTCCACACACCCATTTTGTCATCCCTAGCCCTGAATCCCCAAACTCGAGGACCTTGAGGAGCAGGCAGGGCCCCCTGAGCCCAAGGATTGCCTTGAGGGGCTTTGCAGCTTGGTGCCTGATGATAAAGTCCTGGAACTCTTGGAGGAACAGCTGGAGTGGTCCTTGAGAGCTTTGGTCCAGGCCAAAGAGCAGCAGCCCGGTATGCATTTAAAGGACCCAAGTCATCAGTCTTCTCATGAGTAGGGCTGGGCAATATCTGGGTTTCAATATCATGATATATCGCCAGCTAAACATTGTGATATCTCAATATATCACGATGTCTGAAATAAGGCTGGAGCTTATAATAATCTGGGGAAAATATTGGGGGGGGGAATTAAAAAATCTAAATTTGATGTGTATAATTAAATGAAAATTTACTCAGTGATAGCATGCTTAACTATACCATTACATATTTCGGGAGAATATACAGTATTACTGTTCTGTTAAGGGCTTTATATACCGATAGCAACACCTTGAACTTGGTCCTGTAACAAATTGGGAACTGGTGTAGTTCAGTGCTAAAAAGTCAGGTAGACCATCTAGGTGCCACTTGCCAACTGAAAACTAAGTTACAGGTGGCCATTCAACCTCTGCTTAAAAACCTCCAAGGAATGAGTATACCAC